TTACGCAGTCTGTCTCTGAAGGAGTGGAGAATTTTATCAGCCAGTTTATTGCCTTCCACAGTCCTCAAACTGAACCCATCCACTCCCACATCCCACAGCCTCATCAGCAAGGTTGTGAGATGTTTTCTCATCCTTTATTTAAAATTATTTCCTGGGGCTGGAGAGATGGCTCAGTGATTAAGAGCACTGGCTGCTCTTGCAGAGGACCCAGGTTTGATTCCCAGCACCCACATGGTGGCTAACAACCATCCATAACTCCAGTTCCAGGGATCCGACACCCTCTTCTGACCTCTGAGTTCACTGCATGATGCACATGGGTACACTTACATACAGGTAATACACCTATACACATAAAATAAAAATAAATAATAAACAAAATAAAATTATTTCCTAATTCAAGCATTTTACATAAAAAGTATTTCCTGGGGCTGGAGAGATGGCTCAGTGGTTAAGAACACTGACTGTTCTTGCAGAAGACCTGGGTTTAAATCCCATCACCCACATGGCAGCTAACAACTGTCCATAACTCCAGTTCCAGGGAATCTGACAGTCTCTTCTGTTCTCCATGGGCATTGCACAACACTGGTGCACTTAACTACACGCAGGCAATACATGAATACACATAAAATAAAAATAATAAATAAAATACATTAAAAAATTAAGTATTCCCTGAATATGATAATTTCCTGTACTGGGCCATTATTAAAGACTCCATCTGGGGCTGGAGAGATGGCTCAGTGGTTAAGAACACTGACTTCTTGCAGAAGATCCAGGTACGAATCCCAGCACCCACATGGCAGCTAACAACTGTCCCTAACTGCAGGGACTCAGGTTTGCTTTGCTTAGCGGGGGACCTGCTGGCTTCCGGGCAGAGGGTCTGATCAGCGACAGAGTCAAACTCTGGGACCTGTGTCTTCCCAACAGGACGATTTATTTTAGAATTTAGATGGTTTTTATACATCCCAAGGAACTAGCAATCACGTGGGATATGACAGTCACATACAAAGATTTAGGGTACAAAGAAACAGGACATTTAGTCTGTTAGTTGGTGTCAGAAGGATTCTTAAACTTTTACTCAAGGTTATCAATGCCCATCCAGTAATTTATTGGCCACAATGTTTTCTTTCTTAGGGCTAAAAGCATGGTAAACTTTTAGCTTTTAGCTCAAGAGTAAACCTTTAACCTGGCCTAATCTCTTAGCCAGGGATAGCTGAGTTATTTGTTTAGGACAAGGAGATGAGCTAAGGGTTGTTGACCAAGACGCTTTCCCACAGAGCAGGGAGCCTGCACTTTTATGACCAGGCCGCTTCCTCCTGCCAGCCTAACAGTGTTCTGCAAGGCAGGGATTATCAGAGCCACTGTCTTCAGTGCCCCTCCCTTTTAGCAGAGAATGCAGCCTGGACCTATAAGTTTTAGGCTCACCTCATCCTAGAGCCTGGCATCCTGGTTTCCTACACCTAACTCCAGTTCCAGGCGATCTGACAGCCTCTTCTGTCTTCCTTGGGCGTTGCACAACACAGTGCACTTACCTACATGCAGGCAATATATGCATACACATAAAATAAAAATAATAAAATACTTTAAAAAAAAAAGACTCCATCTACATTGATGTGTCATGGACTTTTTTTTCTCCTCATTAAAAGTCTGACCTCCAGGTATATCACTTCTACTTTACTCTCTCCCTCCTTATTGTCTGATTCTTCCCATAGGTTCTCTATTAGTTACTTTTCTGTTGCTGTGCTAAAACATCATGACCAAAGCAATGCATAGAAGGAACAGTTTATTTGGCTTACAGTTCCAGAGGGGCAAGCATCCATCATGAGGGGAAGGTATGAGAGGAGGCAGCAGGAGCAGAAAGCTGAGCACTTACCTCTTCAAGCAGGCACAGGAAACAGAGAGACAGGTTGGAAATGGGACATGGCTATCTGCTCTCAAAGCCTGTCCCAATGATGGCTTCCTCCAGCATGACCACGCCTCCTAAAGGTTCCGTGCTCCTCCCCAAACAGAACCACGAAGTGCTCAAATACTTGGAGCCTACAGGGGACATTGTCATTCAAACCACCACAGGTTCCAAGTTTTTTGGATCCCAAGAGGTGCTATTTAGCAAATCTAATTTATAATGATTCCCTACATGTCCCTTGCACAAGCTGGACCATAAGAAACAGCAAATCAATGCTTCCATCTCATCCCCTTCCCCCTACTTTTCCAGCCATTCAGAGGCTAGCGTGGAGAAGAGCATCCCAATGTCTTTCGTTGTAATTCTTCCCTTGCCCAGGCAAGTTCCTTGCTCAGGCTCAGTTGTGTGTCTTATTGCCCATAGCAGGAGCCATGCAAATGATGCCACAGCCTGTTTACAATCCAACCCCAGAGGTGATACTTTCAGGAATTGTAATATATTCTCCAATCCATTAGTCATTTTGGGGGGTGCATCCATACTCATTGTGGTAGACCCCATTCATCAAGGAGGTGTGCCACTCCATTTCACATAGAGAAAATTGGCCACCCTGGAGTTCCTTCTCCCCCAACACTCCAACACTCCAATTTTCCAATGTCAAAGAGAGCAGCTTTTTTTTTTTTTTTTTTTTGAGACAGGGTCTCCCTGTAGTGACAGCTGCCAACTGGCTTGGAACTTGCTATGTAGATGAGGCTGGCCTTGAATTCATAGAGATCCACCTGCCTCTGCTGGGATTAAAGGCATGCATCAACCACACCCGGTGAGAGCAACTTTAATTGCATGTCTTTTCATACAACACAATTGCTATTGTGGCCAGAAGGCATGCCATCCCACATCCCACACCAACCAGGAATGGACAGCCATATCTGGATTGCCCCTGAGAATGTGCCACCCTCAACAGCTTGCTTCTGGTGTATGTATCATTATCCACACGGGAGACAATAAAGGGCTTCTCCCTGGCCAGGCAAGGCAGTGCAGGCCTTTAGTCCCAGCACTCCAGAGGCAGAAGCAAGTGGATCTCTATGGGTTTGAATTCAGCCTGGCCTACATAGTGAGTTCCAGGCCCATCAGAGCTACACAGTAAGACCCTATCTTTTTTTTTTTTTTCTAAAGTGCCACTCCCAGACTCAGCTTAGGTTCTGTCATGCCCCACTACCAAGTATTGTGTGACTCCTCCCTGGGAAGGCGAACAAACACATATTCACCCCAGACACGGCAACAGTAATAGACTAAAGAAATAATTCTACTTAATTTTGGCTTAGTGAACCAATTAATTTAATTAGGGCAACTTGTGTGCGGCTGCATTCACTGAAGAAAATGTGTCTCAGCATCATTAAGCATGTGTGTGTGTGTGTGTGTGTGTGTGTGTGTGTGTTTGTATGTGTGTGTCCTGCCTCCTTGATGGAAAGAACATAGATCCACTCTTGTGCAGGTCTCCTGCAGGCAATCACTGCTGCTGACAGTTGGACAAGAGCATATCATCCCCAGAGGATCTCGTTCAACAACACTGCTTTGCAGTATATTACTCAATATTGTTGAGTAATGGTCTTCCGGTTTCTTGACAGCTTCCCAGTACTGTACCTAGTGGATGTGTGGTAACTTGTTCTAATTCTAGTCTAATTCTTATCAGAATTATTTGTATCCATGTTGGTTATTTCTTATTTTTCTGTTATCACTAATAATGTTGGGATCTTATTTTTTTTAATTTTTAAAATTTTTATTTTTTCTTTTTGAGACAGGGTCTCTCTGTAGCCCCAGCTGGCCTGGAACTCGCTATGTAGACCAAGCTGGCCTCAAACTCAGAGATCCACCTGTTTCTGCCTCCCAAGTGCTGGGATTAAAGGCATGCACTACCATGCCCAGCTTAATTTTTATTTTATGTGTATGAGTGTATTGCCTACATGTATATAGGTGCACCATGTCTTGCAATGCCCACAGAGGTCAGAAGAGGGCGTTGGATCCCATGGAACTGGAGTTAAGGATGGTTTTTAGCTGTCATGTGGGTTCTGAGAATTGAACCCTGGTCTTCTACAAGAGCAGCCAGTGCTCTTAACCCCGGAGCCATCTCTGCAGTCTGGGGGGTCTTATTTTTTAAGTGTCTAGTTTATATTCTTATTTACTGTTTTACTTTAAAAATAAACTTAACGACATGCCCTGGAAGTCATGGTATATAACTCCTTAGAAATTATTTTCCTATTTTTTGTTTGATGGGTTCTCACCCCTTCCCCCACTCTCATGTAGCCCAGGCTTGTCTTGAACTTGCTATGTAATCGAGGCATGCCTTGGACTTCTTATCCTCTTGCAGCCCTACATTCTGAGTGGAGTTCAGGTGGGGGGCACTCCACCCAGCTCTTCCTAATGTTTTACAAGATTGCACGTTCACTTACAAGCTTTCCGTCGTGGTTTATTCACCTCACCACATCAATTTGGAAGTGTGGCCTACTAATAATAATCTAGTTGTTGGAATCAGAATGACAAAGTGGCACCCCACCTCATCTTGAGCCACTTACCAATCTTTGCGTTTCTGTTTTCCCACCTGTGAAACGAGTCCCTAGTCTTGTGGAGAAAGTGGGACAGTACTCATTGGTGGTTGTAACACATCAATAAATACACTTAAAGTGTTTACGACAGCACATGGCGCAGAGGAAGCCCTCAACCAAAATGCTGATTGGGTGGGAGTGATGGAGTTTATTTATGCTGGGGAAAACTGAGTGAAGATAGACTATTTCCAGGCTTGCGTGGACTAGGAACAGAGTAGACAGGGCTCTCCTGCAGCTCTCCAAGAAGGGAGGGCACTGGACGCGAGAAGCTTGGCTATAGTCAAAGGTGGAAGGTAGAGGCAGCTGAACGCTCAAAGATGCACTTGGCACAAGGAAGATGGTTTCCACCTAGTCAGTAAAGGCCTCTGTAGCTTCTCTCTCCAAGCTGCAAAGGAGAGGTCAGGAGATCTGAGGGAACCCTGCAGTGGGAGGGGACAGAAAACCCTCCTCCAGAGGCCGACGGCGAGGGCGGGGCGGCGGCCGGGCCCATCCCCCATATGGGTGGGCAGAGGGGGCGGGGCCTCCGCGGTGGCGCCAAATCGCGAACATGGCGCCGGATCGAGTGCGGAGCCGCGCTGTCTCAGCTTTCAAGCTGCGCGGGTTGCTGCTCAGAGGGTGAGTGGTGGGAAGACGCTACCTCGTTGACCTTTAATGACCGAGACCCTTAGTTCTGTTCCACGGAGCGAGGCTGCAGTGTTGGACTTCCGCAGCGTTGGTGCTTAGTGGAAATGGTACTTCCAGGCTGGGCGGGGCCGCTCCGCTCTGGCCGAACCGGCCACTTGGCCGCGAACTGTCTGCCAGCTGTGGTTTAGCCGCGTGGCTTAGGGACCTCTTCAGAGCCTGCGCAGATCCCCGCCTCCGCCAGATGTGAATCATAACAGTGTTGTCGAAGTTACTGAGACCTCAAAGAAGAGACCTTTGGAGAGTCCCTGTGCATGTCAGTTGATTTATGTTGCAACTGGGGGCCTCCCGACCCTTTCGGTTTGAGATTAGGTATTATTTCCTGGAAAATTAAAAACTGAATGTGTTTTAAATGTGTTTTTAGGTAACTTTTTGGGGTAGATTTCCGAGCTTACAACTCCCTGAAAGTCAGGTTTCCTGGGTATATTGTGTTTTTTTTTTTTTTTTTTTTTTAGTTCCTGTAGAATGGACCTCTTCAAAATTTTTCTAATTAGCTCTGCATTTTAAATGTTTTATTATTTTTATTTTATTTTAATTATTTTGTGTGTAGGAGTGCATTGCCTGCATGTACGTAAATGCACCCTCTCACTGCCGGGAGCAGAAGAGGGCACTGGATCCCCTGGAACTGGAGTTACAAACGGTTGTTAGCTGGCATGTGGGTGCTGGGACCTAAACCCAGGTCCTCTACAAGAGTAGCCGGTGCTCTTAACTGCTAAGCCATTTCTCCAGTCCCTAGCTCTCCGTCTTAGATGACAGCATTTATACATTTCTAAGTATCTGCTGAGTGGGTAATATCTTTCTGAGTCAGGATTTGAATGATCTTGTATATGTCATTTTTTTGCTTTATTACAGTGAACATTATGGAACTTCGTTTTGTTTTTTATTTTTTTATTGATTTTTTTTTGTGTATTTCATACAGAACATCTCAAACAATCTTAATCATCTTTATACCCCCATCCCCACTGGCACCCTCCCATTGCGCTCCCCCCCCCCAACTGGAGCTCATATACTCTGTCAGTGTTGTCAGTGCCCCCAGCTGTTCCCAGTGCTAGTCCATCTGCTGAGTCTAGTCATCCTATCTAGAGTTCCTGGTTTTTGGAAGATAAGCTCTCCTTCATCTAGGAGCAATCAGTTGCCAACATTCCTTTAGATAAGATTGGGATCTGCTGTTCGTGCTCCCAGTTCTGTGAGGGGTTACTGTCTGCCTGAGTTTGCATGGGACTTGTGCTGACACCTATGCTGTAGAATCATATGAGCAGGTTCCCAGGAGCTTGTAGGACTCTGTTTCCATATGGTCTTGCACATCCTCCCTGGCTCTTATAATTTTTCCACCCCCTCTTGCGTCATGGTCCCTGAGCCGTGGGCGGATGAAGTTTATTTAATAAAGGGGTCCTGTCCAAGGACCATTATTTAGAAGACTCTTGATCTCTACACTTTGGCCATTTGTGACCTTTTGTGTTCCTGGCCCTCTGCTTCATTATTGAGAACTGATTCATTAGTGTCCTCTTCTTTATTCCTGTTTTATGTTCTATGAGCCTTAAGTGTAGAGGTTGTATTACAGATGTGTCCCTTAGGCCTGGGCAATTCATAGACAATGTCCGTGTGTGACCATTTGTGGTACTTGGTATTAGTCTCTGACTGCTGCAAAATGAGCTTTTTTGATGAGTGGTGACTGGGATATTTGTCTGTAAATATAAGGATCCATATTTTGCACATAGTAGTTTTTTTATCTTTTTGAGACAGGGTCTCCCTGTAGCCCCAGCTGGCCTGGAACTCACTATGTAAACCAGGCTGGCCTTGAACTCACAGAGATCTGCCTGCCTCTGCCTCCTAAGTTCTGGGGCTAGCAGAACTTTTAACTCTACTGTTCGGTTTGCAGTGGCAAGGACCAACCATTTCTACATACCCTGGTAGAAAAGAATGAATTTCGTTCAGTTAATCCTAGACATTTTGAAAAGATGAGCAATTGAGCAATTAATTTTGCATTCCTTTCACTTAGAATGTAACTTAATATTAAGCTGTTAGAAGCTCATTAGTTAACTCAGTAAGAAATATACTTAAATCTTTTAGTTCTAAAACACTGTAGAGAATAAAACACTGAAACTTTGTAATGGGAAGATAGTGTGCTAGTTATCTGTTGCTGCATAACAAATTACCCTCAGATTTAGAGGCTAAAACTATGTGCATTTATTATCCTACATTTCCCTGGATCAGGAATCTAGGTTAGACTTAAGTTAGACCCTCAGCTTCAGGATCATATATACTGATATTCTCAGATGTCTGACTTAGTGTCTAGTTTTGGGCAGAATTCAGTTTCTGGTGTTTATTGAACCCAAGGCCTTGGTCTTTTTAGCAGGAGACTTCCATCAGTTCCTGGCCATGTGGGCCTCCCCAGCATGGTATCAGGCCTCATTACACCCAGCAAAAGAGGGAGTCTGTTAGCAGGACTGAAGTCACAGTCTTTTGGAACTTAATCAAAGAAATGACATCTTGTTACGTTTACTGTTTTTTGCTTGTTTTTTGAAACAGGGTCTCACTATGTAGCTGACAGTCTCATTATGTAGCGGAAGTTGGCCTTGAACTCCTGGTGCTGAGTGCTAGGCTTATAGGCATGTGTCACCACTCCTGGCTAAATATTTTTTACTTATTTTTAGTAGTGCTTGGGGCTGAACTCAGGGTCTCAGGGCTTCACACATGCTAAGCAAGTGCTTTCCCCCTTCGTTATACACCCAACCCTAAATTTAATTTTTTTTTTCTTTTTTTGAGACTGGGTCTCCCCATAGCCCCAGCTGGCCACTGCACCTGGCTAAATTTAATTATTTTTTGAAATGGACTGCTTTCATCTTGAGATCCTCCTGTCTCAGCCTCCTGAGTAGCTGGGATGAGAGCCATGTAACACCATGCTCAGCTCCTAAATTTTAGTTTTAAAATGACAGTAAGGCTGGGCGTGGTGGCACACACCTTTAGTCCCAGCACTCAGGAGGCAGAGACAGGATGATCCCTGTGAGATTGAGGCCAGCCTGGCCTACATGGTGAGTTCCAGGCCAGCTGGGACTACCAGGAGACCCTACCTCAAAAATAAATAAACAAACAGGAGACCATACCTCAAAATACATAAATAAATAAATAAATAAATAAATAAATAAATAAATAGTAAAATTGGGCTGGAGAGATGGCTCAGCAGTTAAGAGCACTTGCTACTCTTTCAGAAGACCTGGGTTTGGTTCCCAGCCCCACGTGGTAGCTAACAACTGTCTACAACTCCAATTCCAGGGCATCTAATGCCTCTTCTGGCCTCTGCAGGCACTACAGGGCATGGGTATAGTTACACACTGCGGGCAAAACACTCATACATGTGAAATAAAAATCAATAGATTTAAAAAAAAATGACAAATTAACCCTTTTGCTATATTATTAGACACAAGTCACTCGGTCCAACCTACATTGAAGGGGAAGGGATTGCACATAGGTGTGACTACCAGGAGCTATGGATATTTAGGGGCAATTTTAAAAGTCTGTCTACCATGAATATGAAACAATTTCTAGATGCCCTGCAGTTGACTGTTCCAAGAAGCTGAGAATGAAACCAGGAGTCTCTGGCTGGCTGCTTGGAAGCAGTGTTTTGGGTTTTTTTTTTTTTTTTTTTTTTTTTTTTTGGTCTTTTTTGAGACAGGGTCTCCCTGTAGCCCAGCTGTCCTGGAACTCACTATGTAGACCAGGCTGGACTTGAACTCACAGAGATCTGCCTGCCTCTGCCTCCCAAGTGCTGGGATTAAAGGCGTGCGCCACCACGCCCGGCCCCTGGAAACAGTGTTTTTACTGCCTCCTCAAAACTTTTATTAGGAAGCTTAGTGTTGGAAGTTCACACAGAGTTTACATGTTGTAAGTGCTCAGGCATTGCAAAACATGTAGGAATTTTCCCATCACAATAGTAAGAAAACAGCACAGTGTACCCAAGGCTGTGGTGATGAGCCCATAACAGACCTTCTTTGATGTATGCAAAGACAGGAGGGGTATGACAACCTGTTCCCCAGTGTTCCAGAAATCAGCCGTCTTATAGGTCTGTTCCCAGCATTCTGGGAATAGACTCTCCCTTCCTCAAGCCTCTGCATCAACAAAGCGGGAAGAAGTCTGTGTTATCTCTTAGTGAACCAAGTTCCAGGAGCCTGTTAGCTGTTTAGCTGTTGTTAGCAGAGTGCTGTTGTCCTAAAGGGCAGGTGTGTGTGTGTGTGTGTGTGTGTCTACAACTATTTTACAGTTACTTAACTTCACTTGTGAAAAGGATTCTAGGAAAAATTGTCATGTAGAATGTATGACAAGGTATATAAACTGTTCTAGAATCAAGGAAGGGCTTCACCGAAGAGTAGTTTGGGGCTGATGGTTAAAGGCTCAGCAGGTACTTAACTAGATGGAGAGAGAGGGTGGGAAGGAATGGAAAGGGCCACAGAAAGACTGAAATAGGAAGGTTCCCAGAGAGATCATGAACGCTGGATGAGTCTGATTAGTTATGCAAGGCTTTACATGGTTTGGTCCATGCTAAGAGCTGCCCTCCAAAATAAGTGTGATGTTATGAATCACCTTCAAATGTACTTAGAGTACTGTACTTGGACTCCAGCTGCTGTTTGAGGTCTGCCGTGGGTAGAGACTGAGGTCTGCTGGTGGACGATGAAATGAGTGAAGGCAAAGGACTCATCCTTCTGATGGAGGAGAGGAGTGAGTTTAATTCTTTAGCAATGCTTTTTTATACTCTCAAAACTACAGTCACAAGCTTGGTGTTTGTGCCAGAACACATGAAAGAATTAGTTTCATGAAGAACAAAGCACATTCTACAGGTTTATCTTTAAAGTTAACCAGTAGGCTACAAAGAGTACATTATTTTCTTACACAATCTATAGATTTTAACAATTTCCAGGAAGGCTAGTCAGCTGGTGATT